ATACTTCAGAACTCCTCCTTGGTTCTATATGGGCTATCTTTTACTGGGTGGAAGGTATTATTGCCTTCCTCAATGCAAGTGAATACAACTTAAGCTGTTGTCAAGGTTCTTAAGTAGCTCAAGAAGGCCAAACAGTCTTTTGGAAATCCTATGGATGGTATCTTATCTATATCGGTGGTTACCAACATGAGGCACACGCCCACAGGGGGGCAATTTGGTTTTTAAAGGGAGTAATTTGAGGATGAGTTATTCACAGTGAATTTTTTGCATTTCTTATGGTTCTAGGGACTTCATATACAATATATAAGTGTATAGTGAACATTTATGCATTTCAGTTCTCTATTATATGTTTTGAAACTTTATTTGCTAATTTTTTGTATCACTTCATATTATTATTATTATTATTATTATTTTTAACAATTTCTTAGTGATTTCTTCCTCAGTACTTCAACTGTCCATTTGTTCTTTAATTTTTATCTTTCATGGGTGCCATGTTCTTTGGAAGCTTATTTAGCCCAGGCTAATGGCCTTTTAGGCTTCCTCCGTGTGAAAAGGAGCTCACTTTTTTAATAGGAAGAATTATGGTCATGGGGGAGCGGGGGGGAGCCATCAGGATTTTAGAGATGTTCAGGAGGGGCATGGCCAAAAAAGATTGCAAACTACTGATCTATATATTTAAGTCTTAGAATTAACTAAAGACCTCTATTTTATAGCAGTATTCTCACTCATGATCATTTTTCCCACAAAAGAAATCTCTTTCTGTAGAAGCTATAGAAAATATAGTAAAAAAAAATAAAAATAAAAAAATAAAAAATAGAAGTTCCAGATTCTAAATATTTTGGCATATATATCCTTCCAGAATATTTTTAATATATATTTACATTTAAAGAAAATCATTTTAAAACCAGCTGACATACTATATACACTGTTTTGTAACCTATAAAAAAGATGTTGAAGGCTTCTTTTTATCTTGGTGTGTTTATGTGTGTGTGTATATGTGATTTTTAATATCTGAATACAGTTTTATTGTTATGAATTATAATTCATGTATTGAACCTTATATACATACTAGAGGCCCGGTGCATAGATTCATCCAGGGCGTGTCCTGCCTGTCTCAGTCCTGATTGGCGGGGCTGGGGAGGGATCGTGGGAGGGCTTTAGGGCATGTCCAGCCCTTCTTGCCCAGTCCCGATCACTGGACCTTAGCAGCAAGCTAACCTACTGGTACTGGTCAGAACATCACCCCCCTGGTGGTCAGTGCATGTCATAGTGACAGGTCAAATGAATCACTTAGCATATTAGGCTTTTATTATATAGGATATTATCATTTAACCAGTTTTTCTATTGTTACCATTTTGGTTGTTTGTAGACTTTAGCTGTTTAATTAAACAAGGCCACACTAAACTTTTTAAAAATATATTTTTTTTATTGATTTCAGAGAGGAAGGGAGAGGAAGAGAGGGATAGAAATATCAATGATAAGAGAGAATCATTGATCGGCTGCCTCCTGCACGCCCTACACCAGGGATAGAGCCTGAAATCCAGGTATGTACCTGGACCAGGAATCGAGCTGTGATGTCCTGGTTCATGGATCGATGCTCAGCCACTGAGCCATATAGGCCAGGCACACTAAACATTTTTATGTGTCTTTATAAAATTACATTACAAAAATTTTTAAATAGCCTAGGACAGTGGTTGGCAAATTCATTAGTCATCAGAGCCAAATATCAACAGTACAACGATTGAAATTTCTTTTGAGAGCCAAATTTTTTAAACTTAAACTATATAGGTAGGCACATTGTTATTAACTTAACTAGGGAACTCCTAAGCTGGCCTTTGCTAAAAACTCAAGGGGCCAAAGAGCTGCATGTGGCTTTCGAGCCACAGTTTGCCGACCACTGGCCTGGGAATTGCTGCTGGTGTATTTGTGTCCCCCTCCCTCCTTTTAATGGTCATTGTACAGAGGTTTTTTCTAACCTGTTTATTTTAAAGAACTTTTACCTTTTCTCAGAGTAGTATCATCTTTGCTGTTGTGAAATAAATATAATTTGAAACAGAAACTTGACTTATTAGAAACTGATTCTAGTTCTTGCCTTAATTTTCAGACACTACCTGTAACGAAAAACAAAGAAAACAGACTAAGAGGACACAAAGTTTTCTGTGCGGTGGGTTTCTCCCCGAGTGTAGTGCCTTCCCTGCTCGTTAAAAACGCTCGGCCTTGTGAGGTGTACCAGCGGCAGGCAGTTAGTTATAGGTCGTTACACTCTAGGTCAGGAGAGGCTGCTATGGAAAGCGAGGTGCTTGTTTTTTAATTTAAATTGGCTTTGATTTCTTCAATCTTCTAGTAAATGTCGTTGTTAACACTGCTGTCTGATGCCACTCAGCCCAGTTAGTTTTCATGGAATTTTTTTAATTGTAGAAAGCAAGCTAGGTTGTCTCCTACTCCTTATAGGCAATAAGATATGTGACCTATGTTCAGCAGCTCCAGGTGACCCAGGAGCTGCTGAACATAGTTTAAGCCTTATTAATGATGGGTGCATTTGGTGAACATGCTTTCTTTGCTGTTTCATGCATGTTTATATACATGTACATTTTTAAGTAGTAGAATCAACCCAGTGTCCCTTCATCATTGTAAATTACAGTTACGACTGTAATTTCTCCGAAAGGACTCATGTGATTCCTATATATCCATGTGTATTATAATATACTAGAGGCCTGATGCACGAAATTCGTGCAAGAGTAGGCCTTCCTTCTCCCAGTTGCTAGCCCCAGCTTCCCTCTGGTCACCAACAGGCACCCCGTACCCCGTCTTCGTTCAGAAGGTCCTCCGGAATGTCAGATCTAATTAGCATATTACACTTTTATTATTACAGATGTATTGTTAGATATAACTTTTGGTATTTTAAAAGTGACTTTTAAAGTATCTATCTTGAAATAACATTTTATTTTATTTATACATTTATTTTGATAATGTAAAATATGTAATAACCACACTGCAAAAAATGTATAATAAAGGGTTGAAAAAATAAGATCTATAACCCCTCTATTGTAACATTAGTACTACGGGCTATTTTTTTCCAGGCTTTTTTCTTATGTGTAGATTTTACATTGTTGAAAGCAAACATTTCAAAACCAGTATCTTTAAGATGTATCAAAATTTAGATGTATCAAAAGGCTAATGAAAACAAATTTCACACCAAATCATCAATTATAGAATTCTAACTTTCTCATGTATTATTCCTTATAGTACAATATTGTATTGAGTTGTAAATAGAGGAGAGTGCTAATTAAATGATTGCCATTGTTTATTAGAAATGCAGTATTAAAATTGTGTAATGCTATAGTTCTGAAAGGATCCTTACCAGTGCCTTCTTTTTTGAGACCCCTACTAGTGTAAGAAAGGAGATTTCTGAGTGACTCTTTTTTAGGGATCTCTGAGTAGCTTCTTCAAGACTAAGACACCCAGTCATGTTAGTTGCATTAAAATATTAGACAGGTTCATGCACATGCACATCGAACTGCAAAAATGCTAATATAACTTTACAAGAAGTATATTAATTCTTAGGATGTGTGTTCTGCATTCAGAGAACACCATTCCCGTCCTTGAGATAACCACAGATTCTCACAAGTTTTTATTTTTTATTTTAACTTGTTCCCAGAAGCCCTCTTATTTGTTATGAGGATACCTCTCTTACATCCTGTACCAATGAGTGATACCTCAGAGCTGGGGTGGGGAACCTTTTTTCTGCTGATGGCCATTTGGATTTTTATAACATCATTTGAGGGTCATACAAAATCATCAACTTAAAGATTAGTCTGCTTCATTTGTTCAAACATTTAATTAGCTCACCCCTGATGCCTGGGCTGGGCCAGACCAAATGATTTCAGAGGCCTTATTTGGCCTCCGGGCCGGACATTCCCCACCCCTGCCTTACAGGCTGAGAACTTGTTCCTTTGATTATTGGAAATTATTGGAATGAAGGACAAGATAGAGAAGACATGTAAAGGAGTTAAGATGTGGTTGAAAGGATTTGCAGGAGAAGGCCTGTGCTTCAGTCTGGACCCTGCCACTTAGGGATGTAATGGGGACAGTAATCCCACTTGGCCTTATAGGATAGTTGTGAGGATAGAATGAAATATCTTAGGTGAACGTAACTTAAACTGTAAAGTACCGTACTTTCCGGTGTATAAGACGACCCCTAATTTTACAGTTAAAACATAGGGTTAGGCCTATATTCGCTGTATAAGACTACCCCCACTTCAAAGAAAAGACTGACTTTGCCGTCAAGATCTGCAGGTAATTTTTGGGCAATTTTGGTCTTTTGCCCCCGATTTTCGGTTGATTTTTTTTTTTTTTTTTTTTTCCGTTTCAAAAGTCGTCTTATGCGCCGGAAAATACGGGTATATGTTATTTTTATTTCGTAACTTATAAACTGTAAAGTCAAGTATATGTTATTTTTATTGTTGGTATTAATACTCACCCAAGGATATTTCTTTTCCATTAATTTTTTTAGAGAGACTGGAAGGGAGGGAGAGACAGAGAGAGAGGGAGACATATTGTCTCCCCATTACGCCCTGACTGGGCCAGGGATCAAGCCTGCAGTCGAGGTGTGTGTCCTTCACCAGATTCAGTCTGTGGGCCAAGTGTGTGTGTGTGTGTGTGTGTGTGTGTGTGTGTGTAAGTATATTTTTATTGATTTCAGAGAGAAAGGGAGAGAGAGTGAGAAACATCAATGATGAATCATTGATCGTTTGCTTCCTGCATGCACCCTACTGGGGATGGAGCCTGCCACCCAGGCATGTGCCTTGACTGGGAATCGAATTGTGACCTTCTGGTTCATAGGTCAACACTCAGCTACTGAGCCACACCAGCCAGGCTAGCTCAGTATATGTTTTGATGCTGATACTTCTCAGATTAGGGAGGAAGAATATTCTTAAGCCACAATGAAGTTCTTAAGAAACAACTAGCCTCGTCGTGAAACTGTTCCTTTTTCTTTCCAGTCTTCAAGCAGTGACAGTGGTGGGAGCAGCAGCAGCAGCAGCAGCATCAACAGCCCAGACAGGGCCAGTGGGCCAGAAAGCAGCTTGAACCACATCGTCACCGGGTCCAGCCCCAACACCCCTCAGCCCGCACCCGAGCAGTCTGCACTATGCCAAGGCCTTTACTTCCACATCAACCAGACCCTGCGGGAGGCCCACTTCCATAGCCTGCAGCACCGGGGCCGGCCTCCAACATGATGGGCTGGCGGTTTCTTGCCTTCTGTGAAGGGACAGCGCTGTGCAGATTTGATATTTCATCTTACGATGTTTTAAAAAATTGCACAAAAAATGCCTGTTGGCTTTTCAGTCTATATTTGAAATAACAGGTTAACAGGCAGTTGTTTACTTGTGGTTTTGCTGCACTATTGCAATTTTAAAGGGGCTTTGGAGCAATTTTTTATAGGATTCTTTTGAGGGTGGGTATCAAATCCATGTCAAGGTAATGGTATGAGGAAATCTCATCTGCGTGTTGAGTCCATAGTTTGTCCAGTTCAGATTGATTTCCAAATCTGTCAATTAGAAATTCTACTTTATGTAAAAAGGCCTTTTAAAAATGCGGGATCTCCAATTTTTTAAATTCAATAAACTAGTAAAGAGTATATAGTTTCCATGAAGAAACATACATTTTTTCCAAAATAGAGACCTTGATTCAGTCTTGCACTGAAATTGCCATACTACCTCTAAGTATGTAGCTGTGCTGTGCTCTCCTTTGTCACAGAGAGTCAGATCCAAGGGAGGCTGTGTATGCGAGCACCCTCCCCCAGAACTGTCTCCTCTCTGTTGTGTATTTGTATTTCCAGAGAGAATGTCTTTGAGGTTCTTGTCTACGCAGATAACTGCCACCTCATTGCTCAGAGCCTACATCTCCGATTTGGTAGAAAACATTGCAGTTCCGGCAGTCAAGAAATATGTAATGATTTTTTTGTCTTACAAACTTGTTCTCTCTGCAGCTTATGTGATCTTGTTGATAATTCTACCCCGTAGTGTCGAGAATTGCAGCGCTGTTGAAAGCTGACAAGAGTTAAGTATCTAAACTGATGTCTGAAGTCACAGTGCTGTGAGACTGTTGGCCAAGGATTCCCTTTAGAATTGAAGGTCCCCATTCCCCCCCACAGTAACTAGGGCCACACTCCACCACTGAGACTGGACAGACTAGTGTGGCTTAGAAACGGATGAGCAGAGGCACCGTGAGTAGGAATGATGAAGTAGTATTTATTTAGAGAGTGATGGCCATGCCCCATGTTATTTAGTCATACTAGAGAGCCAACTGAGTTTGAACAACGAAGGTGTAGAGTCTTCGTCCTCACTGACAAACTGTCTGAATAAGGAGCCGGGATGCATCGGGTCATCTGCTCGCGAGAGTGCCGGGGGGACGACCTGCCATGGCATGGAGAGGAAAGTGCCTTAGAGTCCACCCAGATCCTCCTGCCTGCTGACCCTCCGCCCCGCCCACCCCACCCCACCCCACCCCACTCGGAGTGCACACAGCACACACAGACCTGAGAAGCACGGACAGCTCTAGTTCAGGGGACTGAAGAGGACATGGGGATGACTAAACTCTGCAGCCGGAACCACTGTAGGAAAGGGTAAATCTACACCTCCTTTCCGTGGTGGTTCCTCTACTATGGACGGAATTTAAAGGTCGGTTACTTGAAGTAGAAATTTAGAATTATGGAGGGAAGTTACTGCACAGGCCAATGCTGATGGATGGATGGTTTGTGCAAGAATTTTTTTTTTTTTTTATACTACCATCTCCCAAGTTTTAAAAAACAGATGTTTGACAAAGATTTTGGATCTTAATGCGTTTGTGGCAGGGAATGTGGAAAGGATTCATTGCTCATGTTTTGTCTAGCAATAAAGTAAACGACTAAATGCTATAAGAAGCCAGCATTTGAGCTCAAACACACAAGTATACAACACAATGCAGAAATACCCAGGACTCCTCCTGCAGGCTAATGGATGGCAACCTACTGAAACAAAACGTGTATTAAGAAAATGTAAAACTCAAGAAAGCAAATTTCCTGTTATTTATCACCCAAGTAAAAGAAATGGAAGATGAAACCGTCACCAAAACAACCATTTTTTCCCCAAACAAGTATAACGATAGTGCTGGGTTAGCAGTTCACTCTCATCCTACAAAACCCAAGAACAACCTTCCTGTTCTGCAGCTGTTCTCCAGCCTCGCAGCCCGAGACCTGTTTCTTTATGAGGCTGCTCGGTAGTGTAAATGAGCACTTTTAAACTATCAGCTCAAGCTAGTAAAACCTGTACTTCTATATTGCGCCGCCATTAAAAGCAGCATTAGTGCATTTTGTCATTCAGTTCTTTATCGATTCTTTAAGGGGAGCCGATGGGGTGGTTTGGTGGGAGATGGGGCAGGATCCATAGGGATGAACTTGATGTCTGCACTCACCTGGGCTTTGGACTCTATGCTTCTGGTTGATTTGGCCTTTCGCGTGCTTGTCATGCTCAGGGGAAGAAGTCCAAACCTCCAAGACAAGACGAAAGCATGTCAGTGGCATGAACAGGAAGCTGGGGGCCAGTAGAAGCCTGGTGGTGGAATCGTTACCTGATCTGACTCGATGCCAGCGGCAGTATGTTATGGGGTTCCTGCGAGTTGAATGTACTGCTCCTGGGGGTGAACTGATTCTCTGTACCAGTAACCAGTCCAAATAGAACCTGACAGACAAGAAATGGGGTATAAAACCATGGGTTTATTGGCCAGTTAAAACCTCTGTGTAAGGAATTACTTTGTGATCGCCATCATTTTGGGGAACATTGTTTTCAGTGTGTCAACGCTTAAAAATTCCTACCTGTCAGAATCTGTCACATGATTCCTTTCCAAGGCCTTGATAAACCTGAATAACCCTTATATACCATGAAAGGGGTCAGATCTCAGCAGAGAGATCTTACCTAATCCTCTCTCAGTCTCTATAACTAACCTCAGCTCGGCTCCTGCCCCTCCCAGCCTGCCTCCTGGAGCTTTATTTGTCCCAGGGACTGGCTTACAGAGGTTCGCTGCACCAGGCGCGCGAAGTTGCTGTTGAGGTGTGGTGTGAACACATCCAGGTCAAAAGGATCGATGAGTGCTTCCAAGTAGTCAGTCACTTTCTCGATTCTGAAAAAAAGGATTAGGATGATGAGTCTCCACAGTTTTTTAAGACAAAAACCCTTTTTCTGGTACTTGAATGCTATGGAAATCCTGGAGCTGGATTTATTAATGGCTGGCTCATTACCACTTGTTACAAATTGTTGTGCTTAATAATCCTCAAGAGTTTTGAGCTGATGGTATGTCTAAGTCAAGTTCATTTTTTCCCATGCTGTGTTTAGGGAGAGCACTGGAGCCTCCAATTATACCCAACAGCTGGTAGGCTGACTCGCGAGAAGAGGAATGAGAGCCCACTTGGTCCGCCTGGCCATGGAATTGTCCAGCAGGTGGTCAGTGTTTATCTTGCCTGTTTAAAACAAGCACAGCTACTGTGCAGCGCGGCTACTGGTGGCTCCCTGGGAAAGGGGCAAGGGCTGCTTGCATTTGGCAGAGGCTGTATTGGGAGAGCTGGGGTGAGGCTACCTGGAGTCCTGTTTGCTGCGGCCACTTTTCACCTCTTCACTCTTGGCTGCGAGCACAGTGCTGAGGTACCGCAGGTCATAAAGCAGCTGCAGGGCCCGGTTCTGGGTCATTGGGAATGCACCTTCTCTCTGCAAACGAACGCCCCGCCCATTAAGGGAGATGACTTCCGTACACAGAATATGACAGCGTCACGGTTTGACCGAGTCCCAGCTTATTTAAAGGGAAAACACCCCTTCATGAAGGAGAGGCCTGTGAGCAAGCTGAGAAGGCTTACTGAATTCTTCCCAAATTGGGAGGTGGGCCTCTCTTAAAAGTGTTACTAATGAAATGGGAGTATGCCATGAGGGCAGAATGCTTCCAGACCATGAGTGAGAGGGGAGAGGAGGGCTGGGAGGCAGGGACTCTTCAATAACTTGCCACGGCTGTGCATTGTAATCCTTCCCACTCCCTCCCAGCCCCAGAGCCGTTTGAGAGACCACATTTGATCCTGAGGAAACTGAGACATAAATGATTCGCCCCAAACCCCTGGTCGGGAGGGGTCTTTGTTGCTGAGGCCTTCCTCCTCCCACGTACTGCCTGCTTTTCTATGAAGACCTGCCTGACCCCTGAGAATGGTGTAATTACACTTGCAGGGTTGTAGGCCACTATCAATTCGATAGCCTGGGCTCAGTGACCCTCAACACCCAGAGTCCTTGCTGTGCGCCGTCCAGACCCCAGAAAAAGCTAAGGCTCATTTCAGTGTCTAATGGAGAAAACTTCAAACACCTACCTTCACCTCTTTTCCTTCTGAGAGTTTCTCATAGGCGGCTACTACTTGAGCCACACAGTTTTTCAGCATCTCCTGCAGCGTCACCTTGGGCAAGGCATGGCCTCCAACCCGGTTAATTTCCTGGCACAAGCTGAACAGGAAGGACTGCACATACCAGGATGGCTGAAACAACAAAGGAGCACCGAGTCGCCAACTAGAACCAATTAAATGAGACGCAGTAAATTTGGGCCCATCTATCCTGGCTTCACACCAAGACCTTGACCTCTCCGATCAGCCCCTCTTACAGACCAGCTAACAGATCCGAGTGGCATTTGCTGTCATTCCCTTGGTGGCCTGGGTCAGCTGGCTGGTGGCACTGTCTTACATTGCTGTTTTCACTAAAGGGTAAGTTCTCAGATTAGCAGAGCCTGTGCTACAAAAGGGGAGAATCATAACTGACTCTGGAGCAGTCTCTTTACTTGGCCCCAGGGCCACTTTGCCTCCCCCACCCCCTGCAGAAAGTGTTAACTACACTTGCAGCTCACCCTCAGCAGCTGACAGTTAGTGGCTTTCTAAGCTCTTTCCTCAGAGCAGGTCTCGGCCTGGCTCTGACGGGGGCCCTGGCTTACCTGGGTAGGGAGTCGGATCTTGGATGTGATGCTACTGCCGGACTCCGCTTCCTCCTGGATTTCTAGTTCGTCCCAGCTGGTGGCCGCGGCCAGGATTGAACCAGCATCATCTAGAAGTAATGACTGGGCGAATCCATGAGCTAAAACCTGGTAATAAAAGGCAGGTGCCCAGAGAGGCCACTCAGATCCTGCAGAGCTTGTTTCAGACTCTAGAGCCCCCTGCTGCTTACGGCACGTGGGGTGGCAAGTG